GCCGAAGTGCTGAGAGGGGTTGCATAAACATCCAAAATTCCCATTTTTTTTGGTGATTGTCTTCCGTAACCTGGCATGCAAATCCCTTGCGCTGGCCAATGCAATCTACACTTTCTAGCCGCGAAGCGCGGCAAACGATGGGTATGAAACCTACCAGTAGCATGAAAAGCAGCTTGATTTGAAAGTCTGATTTACTGAGTGTCTTTGGAAGCATGACTCATTGCTGTGGCTTGAGGAGAGAAGTAAAGGACCTCCCGAAGTCGGTGGACTGGCGCAAGCAAAGTCCTGCTGTCGTCTCGCCAGTGAAAAGTCTGAAGCTTGGGGATTGGTTCTGAAGTGCAGCTGTGCGTTGAATCTGTCTCTGTTTTTGAGGTCAAGGAGGAGCTTTGGCGGCATTCTGTCACCTGAGAATTTCGCAGTTTGCCCCGTCCTAGACTCGCTTCTTAGCATGGCTGTGATGACCGCTGGCAAGGATGTGGAAGCTGCTGGGCGTTTGCAGCATCCACTGTCATAGTTGCCTGACCTGGAGTTCGAATGGGGATCACTAGATTCAGATGGTGCAGCCAGCCATGAGATGTGATTTGACTAAGCCGTGCTGCCTCGCTTCTTTTGAGGAGAGCCATGTGGCAATCAACACTGGCGTGCTTCTCACGCTGTCCCCTCAGGACGGGAGGAAGACGGCAAGTTTTGAGACATGGCTGGCAGTAGTGATGGGGTGAATGGCTGGTGAGGAGATGACATCCTGCACTCCCAATCCAGACGGGTGTGGTGGTGATGGCGGTTGCAGCGGAGCAACGGCCGAGCTTGCGTTTGCTTACGCGGTGGAAGCAGGCCTACAGCCTGCTGCAGCCTGTTGATCGCAAATGGCTCGTGATCACAAAGCAGTGGGCCTGAATGGCGGCATCACTGCATTGCATGCACACACAAGAATGGAGTCTGGTTTTGATGGTTTGGTATGGTTGAATCCCAGCCAGACTGCCCAGCGGAAAGGGTATTGTAGCGGTGTAACAGCGAAAAAGCTGCCAACATGAAGCATGTGGTGCATGGCGAAGGCACAACAGGAAACTCGTAAAAGTGCTGAACAACAGATGAGTGTCAAACGGCGCAAAGCGCTAAGAGCGTGAACGTTAGCGCTTTGGAGAAGAGTAAAATGCAAAAGACATCATTGCTGAAAAGAGTGAGACGGCAAAATCCACAACGCAGTAACCAAGTTTCAAGACTGATAGAAGCTACAAACATGAAGCCGTACCAACCTTATAGTTTCGCAGTTGGACGCTTGGCCGTGGGAGGTTGCGCATGGTTCCGTGCTTGGAAGTTGACCGTGCGGTCTCGCGGTTGGACGGGTATCTCGCTTGTCTGGTCTACTGTGAAAGCGCGGGCCACACTGTTTCGCGGTTGATCGCGGGATTTCGTAGTTTTCCAATCGAGCCTGTTTGGTCGGCTAACTGTGACTCCACGATTTGACAGCTGACTGCCCCACGAAATCGGATGCTTCCCCTTGTTCGCCCTGCTGCTCCAGACTCCACTCCTAATTTGATGGAAGAAAACACATAACGAGGTTGGCGCCGGACCCCTTTCAACATTATTTTTTTCAGGCTCTGCAGCGTGGCGGGCACCTAGCATGACTTAGCAGATGTTGTACATAATTGCTGGTTCCAGAGGCCTCCAAAATCTACACCCCCAACCTTATAGTTGGATAGTAGGGTCGTTCCTGGCTTGAGATTAAAGGTGCAGGCCCCACTTGCTGGAAATTGCAAGTTGCGATGCGAACCTTGACTTGTACCCACATCACGTATCCTTTTTCATGTGTTGGCTTTCGCGAAACATCGATTAGAACATGTCATACGGATGACAGTGCAGCCTTGATTGCAGGTGATTGCGATCTATATTTTGCACAGCAAACGAGTGCGCAAAGAGGTGGAAACCTGGAATTTTGCCATGCCCGATGTGATTCAGTCTCCACTGGCTGAAAGGGATTTGTGCGCCATTAAGATTTTATTTGAACATGATGCTCACGGCAATGCATGGGCTATTGCGAATGATGAAATGATGTGCTCGAAAGGGTTACGAAGGGTATGCGAAAGGTTTAGTTCTGGTCCAACAAATCCTTGGCAATGCAGGCTGCTAAGGAAGCTTCGCTGATAGAAACTTCATACCTTATGGAATCTGGATATGGTTTTTGTTTGAGAAGCTATGGTCAACGAGAAGCTGTGGATGTTTTCAAGAGGGCAGAAAAGGGTCCTGAAAGGGTTTGCAAAAGAGTCATGTCTGGCAAACAGAAATGTTTGACAACCCCCAGTTCCAAAACCACTGTAGAATCAGAGATGTTGTAGCCAGAATCTGGGTCACCAGTGCTACTCTTTCAAACCTCGTCGACGCAACAAGGAACCAATGAGGCGCATGCACATTCCAGTCCGGGCCTACCGCAAGTTGGAATCTCCAGCACATGTTTGTTACCAACAGTGTGCAGTGCCGTTAGGTTTGGCAGAGGTGCAAGGTATAAGTTTGCCCGTCCGTCAGGCGGTGTGCCAGACATTTGGCACAACCCATATTTGAGCGGCATGGAGTTCCGGAGTCGACAATGCCACGCTCTCAGCCACCCTCAGAAGAATGGGTAACATTCCATTATACTATATTATGCTATAAGAATAGATTATAATAACATACTATAATATTGCACTGAGCTCTCAAAGCTCTCAAGTGCTGACCTCGCTGCATCTCTTCGCATCTCCTCAAGGCGAAAAC